CGCCGAAATTTCTACAAACCTAAGAAGTTAGTTAAATTTTGTCTTAAATGAACTCAGGTTTTGCTTATGAGTTTATACCTGACTTAGTAAAGATTTAGAAAGGCATCCTTTCTAAAGAAAGTGTTGCCCAATTTTTTACTGATTCAGGGAGTTAGACAAAATTTGACTTTCCAAAATTCGAGATTGTGTTTTTTATATATTTGAGTTATTATAAATTCAGTGAAGGCACTTTTCCTACGGGAAACACTGCCGAAATTTTCTTAGTTTAAAGGAGTCAAATTACATTTTGACAGGTAGCAATTCTGGTAATCCACCCTCAATAGGGGAAATGTTGCTATAGGCCTGCTTTGCGTTGGGCACTAGCTTAGAGGCAAGCACAGGCTTAGCTTGTAGAAGGGTCTTGGGTGAGAATGTGTTATGGAGCTGTATTCTCCATACACTTATGATTTTAGCTTGGGGATTGACTTGTTTTGTGCTACAGGTCCTTTTGATCATCGGTTCAGGATTTGGAATAAGCTCAGCTTCATCCTACAAGGATCACCTTCTGTTATTACTGATAACAGGTTGGTTCCCCATTCGTCAGTCTACGACTCAACTCCAATTCATCCTCGATGCTCAACCTAAAAGGCTTTAGCCCTAGTGATTTTTATTGTTTTATTAAGGTTTTCACCCGGACTTTTATTGCGTGGGGTTTGCATGGCTAAAGCGAGGGGTCTGAGGATAGAGGTTGGTTGAAGTTGACAACCTGTAGTGCGTTGACTTTTTGTTGATTCTTTGATGTGATTGCAAGTATGTTCTGTGGTTCGGATTTTCGATTTGACTGTCTGCGATCACACACATATATATGGCTGTGAGGAGTCTCACTGTGATTGTGAGAAGTGATCGTCACATACTTATTCCCCCTTACATGTATATATGTATGTATGTACCTATGTTGAGTGTTCGTGTGGCCTGAGAGGGTCCACGCCTAAGGGCTTAATTGAAGGTTGAGATTGAGAAAGGGAGGAAAAACCCTCCATTGGTTGTATACTTTTTAAAGATTTCTTAGTTGGACGTTGGTGTTGGGCCTGGATTCGAGATCCTCGTCCAAGACATCCCAAACCCTTGACTCTGCATGGAAGGGATCTCCTCCCACACAGAGCCTATTTGCTCTACCTGCTGCGACACTCAACCTAAAGGCAGAAGGTGCCGAGGCGGCCGCACGGCTATTCCTTCAACCGTGCAATATCGTGAAGGGGGAAACCTTCACGATACTTCGAGTCTGACAGTTGAGTGTCATAAGCGGTACTCGGATCCACGAGGGACCGCTTGGTTATGGGTACTACATAGTACGCCATTGCTGCGACTGCCTGCGTATTCATGCATTGCTAGTCGATATGAGAAGACCCTGCGCCGCTCGGTTTTATACTAAGTCTCGCGCGCGACGCCTATCCGATCCCTACGTCGGAGAGTTATGGGTTGGCTACCGAGGGACTAGGAGCGTTGTCGCGTTGTTTGTTTTGTATCATTTCATGTACATGTATGTATGCATGTTTCTATTTTTATGTTCTTTAGATTGGTGTATGAGTGGCGTGTGGGATGCGTCCTCGTCGACCGGCGACGAGTCGGACTTGGGACCTCAGCCCCCCAAGATATCGGTTCACGTACGGGTTCGATAGAGGCGTATTACCATGCGTACCCCCTATGCTACAGCAAACGAGAAACGTCCTCGACTGGTCCACCTCTGCGATTGCATCTGATTAACTTTCGTACTGTGGACTGGTAGCTCGGCGGGGATACGCCCACCGAAGGGATGTGACAGCTCCCGTAAGGTGGAGGTAAGTCGTGCCTCGCGTAGGCTCTATCCCGTCGTAGGGGCTCACGTGAGGTATGGATGGCGCACTCGATCGGAGCAGCTTGCGAAAGCTCCATATGCATTTGCTATAAGGATCTAGACCAACTCCTGCATGATGCGGCAGGGAGGGTCCCGTGTTGCCTTGTGCAGTGTCAGATCGATGCGCTCGACAGCGATTACTTGCGTTTGCTTGCATTTCCGAGTCGATATGAGTTAGCTCTGCGTCCGCGTGGTTTTATACTAAGTTTCGCGCGCGTCGCCTATCTGATTTCCGTGTCGGAGGGTTATGGGATGACTACTGAGGGACTAGGAGTGTTGTCGCGTTGTTTGTTTTGTGTTGTTCTGTATATGTATGTGTATGTGTGTTTTATTTTTTTTATGTTCTTTAGAGTGGTGTGCGCGTGGCGTGTAGCATGCGTCCTAGTCGACTGGCGACGAGTCGCGCTTGGGACCTCAGCCCCCCCGAGATGGTGGTTCGCGTGCAGGTTCGATAGAGGCGTAATACCGCACGTACCCCCTATGCTACAGCGAACGAGAAACGCCCTCAGTTAGTCCACCTCTGTGATTGCAGCTGATTAACTTTCGAACTGTGGACTGGTAGCTTGGCACGGATACGCCCACCGAAGGGAGGTGACAACTCCCGTAAGGTGGAGGCAAGTCGTGCCTCGTGCAGGCCCTATCCTGTCGTAGGGGCTTACGAGAGGTATGGCTGGCACACTCGGATGGAGTGGCTTGCGGAAGCTCCATACGCATTTGTGACGAGGATCAAAACCAACTCCTTCCTGATGCGGTCGGGAGAGTCCCGCACTGCCTTGTGTGGTGTCGGACTGATGCGCTCGACAATGGGCAACAATTTCCGGTACCTCTGACCTTTCGAGGCCCAACCTGTCCTTACCGTTTTATAGGCTTTGGTGTCATATAGGCTCTGACGTCTAATAGACCCTGGTGTCTTATGGGCCCTGACGTGCAATATGCAAATATCTGCCGAATCGAAAGGCCCTCTTGGCACCCTCCTTCATCCCGACGCGAGGCCTACTGTTGGAGAGTACCTCTGGGCGGAAAAGTATAAAAGGCGTTGCCGCCCTCGTGTTATCCGTTCTGTTGTTTGACAGCTCTACAAGTCAAGTCTCGCTATCGCTACCGCGCGCGTTTTGATATCTTGTCTTCTCCCACCACCTCCTTCCGCCATAGCCGATTCGCTCTTCGTAGCACGATTTCCATTCACCAAAGTCGGTTCGCTCTTCGTAGTTCGATTTCCCTCCGCCATAGCTGGTTCGCTCGTCGTACATCCATATCCATCCGACTGTGGTCGTTCGCGCAACGCACGATAAAGGTGAGATGCTATTTCAGTTGTCCTAATCTGTGTCTGATATCCGAACAGATTCCCAGAACGTCGCAGTGTCGCATGTTGATCCTGGAATCAATTCAAGGTTTTGTTGTTTCGAAGCTCCACATGTCAAGTCGAACTATCACCACCACTCGCGTTTCGATATTTTTTTTTCACCCTTCACCTCCGTCCGCCATAGCCGACCCGCGCTTCGTAGCTCGATTCCTTTCGCAATAGCTGAACCTGCACACTATAAAGTTGTCATGATATTGTTCATATATATATATATATATATATATATATATATATATATATATATATATATATAGAGAGAGAGAGAGAGAGAGAGAGAGAGAGAGAGAGAGACCATTTTATACTCGTCAATGCCCATGTTGAACCCCTAATCAATACCCGGTTTTTGTTGAACCCCGAATCAATTCCCGGTCTTCGTTCACCTGTCCCTTATGAGGTCGCCGACCTGACATACATACATATATATATATGTATTTATATATATATAGGTACTCGTCCATGCCGCTTCTAGAAGACCGAATCAATTCGCAGTTTTTGTTCATCTATCCTAGTGAGGTCGCAGTTTGCGACCTATAGTGCTGAAGGAGTTTCGCAGTTTCCCCAAGAGAAGACCCCTCTTTCTTGAAAGTCGGTTCTTTTTTTCCAGATCTGCGAGTTAGTTCGCACTTTATGACCTACACTGCTGGAGGAGTTGTTGCCCTCCGTATCCAGAACTCCGAGTTAGTTCTCACTTTCCCCAAGATAAGTCGCCTCTTTCTTAAACGTGAGTTCCTCATATCCAGAACTGCGAGTTGGAATTGTTGTCTTGTCTCCAGAACTGCGAGTTAGTTCGCACTTGTCGATACCCATGCGTTACTTATTGTAAAGGTCTTCATTTCCACAACTCCGAGTTAGTTCGCACTTTCCCCGAGATGAACCTCCTCTTTCTTCATTTCCCGGACCGCGAGTTGGTTCGCACTCTGTCCGAGGAATTGTTATCTTTCCTCCCAACCGACTCTGCCAGAGGAGTATTGTCTTTCCTCCCCCATTACCCAATTGTTGTGACTTCGTGTGCATTTCAAAAAGCCGTCTGGTACGCCGTTTTGGTCCTTCATTTCCACAACTCCGAGTTAGTTCGCACTTTGCTGCCGTACTCTTAGGAAAACCTCGTGGCTTTCCTCCCGGTCATCCGATTTAGTCTAGGGGGTTGGGCATATTAGTCTAGGGTTGGGCGTAAAATGGCGTCCGCGAAGAATACATCTACAAGCGCTGGGGCGTCTGCCTCCGAGGAGGGACGAAGTCTTCCTCAATCTCCTCCTCAATATTTTCATTCGAAGGATGAACAATGGTTTTTGGACTTTGTTGTTGAAAGGAACCTTGTTGGGCCAGTTGTTTTCATGCGGCACGCTGCCTTTCCGGACGCTAAGGGAGCAGACTACGTTCATCCTGTCGGTACCATCCTTTCGTCCCAGAAACAGTCTGGAGGCTTGCTCAAGCTGCAGACTAACATTTTCTACGACATGTGCAGACTACCTTACAAAGGTGTCAAGGGTGTGATGGTTTCTATTAAGAATTTCGCGGGGTACGACTCGAACATGCTTCGCTGCCGTCACTTCAAAGGGCTTTACGATGGCAAAAGCAGGCATCTTCCACCTCCAGTGGAATATCTCGATCTTGCGCTGAAGGTGTCAAAAGAGCGTCCGATTCTTCTGCGAGATTACGTTTTCCAACTTCTACCAGCCCCTGAGGGGTGGTCCGACTTAGCTTAAGAAAACCCTATGACGAAAGTGGGGCACGAGAGTATCATTTACGGCACTGAGGGTCAGGGCACGCGGGCAGGAGTCAACTGCAGGTCGGTCTTAGTCCTTCTAGGTGCACGTCTGGGGATCCTTTGCCTTCCTTGACTTCTCCAGATGTAGGGACGCATCGTGTCGCCACACCGAAAATCCTCAAGTTTGTCTGCCAGGGTGACACGTATTCGCTTCGGGAAGAGGTTGGAGGGAATGAGGTTGGAGGAATGGGCGTTGTGCGTGACAACTTTGGAGGGGAGTCGACTTCTTCGGAGAAGAAGCGCGAGCGACAGAAGACGGTACGAGATGAGGTGGCGGAACAAACCAGATACATGAAGAGGATGAAAGGATCCTCGGAGCCGATGATTGGCGAGGATGAAGGTGACGTCGTGGAACGTGTCATGGGAAAACGGACGCCAAGGATGCGTGGCGCACAAGAAGAAGAAGTCAAAAAGAGGCAGTCGACGCAAGAACATGGAACAACACGTAAGAAAGCGAAGAGGGTGGGCGGTTTAACCATTGACGAAGGGCAAGCAGTGGAAGCTATGGGTGAAGGAGATTCGACTCGTCAAGGCATTACCGGCACGGGAGTACCTTCCGAGAAATCTAAAAGGAAACTGGCAGCTGAAGAAGGCGATGGTCAGAAGAAAGCTCAGAGGAGGAAGACTGGTGAGGGGACGAGTGGTGGCGAAAGGGCAGTTGCTAGGCAATACGACGAAGCAGCGGCGTTGTGGCTCGAATACGAACGAAACGATGATGGTGACATCGTGGAGAAGGAACACCCAATTCAACTGGTCATCGACCCCAGGAAGGTCTGCGATATCCCGCTGTGGGAAAGCTATTATAATCACTGTAGTCTCACTCGGGATGGTATGGAGGACATCAAGAATGCGATGCTAAGGAAGTTCCACGAGGAGAAGGCAAAGATATGGACGAAAAACACTTTGGTTCTAACTCCCATCTACAAGCCGGTGACGCAGAACCCGAAGAGAGCTCGGAGGGTTCACAAGGATGTCTTCAAGCCAGAGGACAAGGACAACTACTTCGATTACCCCATGAATGGAGAACCCACCGTGGCTGCTGTGAAGGAATTGGACGGTGAGCCAATATTCGAATTGTGGAAGATGGAGTCGTGGCCAGCGAGAGTCGTGTGATTCTCCGATGAAGACTTTGGGGGGTATTTCTAGGTCAATCTAGCGGAGAACACAAGACACACGATGGCTGTTCAAGGAAACCCTTCCGGCAAGGAGGCTGAAAAACAAGCGTTTCTCAAGTTCCAGAAATTGCTTTTGGGAAAGAGTTCCAACGACGCTCGTTGGAGGATGGCACGTAATCCGACAACGCTCGCCAACAAGGAGAAAGTTGCGGCTATTTGCAATGCATTACGGCAATGGGTGCCGCTGTCGAGCGCATCGGCCCGACACTGCTCGTAATAGCGTGGGACCCTCTCGGCCGCGTCACGCAGGAGTTGGACTAACCTTTTCGCGAACACACAAATGGAGTTTCCTTAGGCCGCTCCGGCCGAGTGTGCCAGCCATACCTCTCGCGAGCCCCTACGACAGGATAGGGCCTACACGAGGCACAACTTACCTCCACCTTATAGGAGTTGTCACCTCCCTTCGGTGGGCGTATCCCCACCGAGCTACCAGTCCACAGTACGAAAGCTACTCGATTGCAATCGCAAAGGTGGACCAGCCGAGGGCGTTTCTCGTTCGCTGTAGCATAGGGGGTACGCGAGGTAGCACGCATATCGGACCCGCACGAGGACCGACACCTTGGGGGGCTGAAGTCGCAAGGGCGGTTCGTCGCCGGTCGGCTACGACGTATCCCACTTACCACGCATACACTACTCTACAGACACAAAGGGAACGCATACACGCACACACACACGAAACAACACGGCACAAACAACGCGACAACGCTCCTAGCCCCTCAGTAGCCGTCCCATAACCTTTCGACGCGGAATTCGTGTGGGCGTTGCGTGCGAGGCT